AAAAAAAAAAAAAAAAAAAGAATAAATAAAGACATTCAGTAAAGTGAATAATCTATTCCTAGTTAATCTTTATTTGACAAATTATAATTGCATATAATTATGAGGGTATGTAGTAATGTTATGACAAGCATACTGGGAGAAACGATTGAATCAAGCTAATTTGCATACTCATCATCTTAAATACTTACTATTTACTTTTCCCGTCTAACTGCAACTTTCTGCCCTTTGACCAGCATCTCCCCATTCCCCCAATCCTCCAAACTCTGGGAACCACCATTCTACTCTCTGCTTCTGACTTTGACTGTTTTAGATTCCATATATAAATGAGAATATGTGTGATTTTTTTTCTTCCTCTGATTGGCTTATTTCACCTAATGTTCTCCAGATTCACCCACGTTACTGCAAATGACAGAACTTTATTCTTTTTAAAGGCTGAATAATATTCCATTGTGTATATATACTACATATTCTTTATCCCTTTACCCACTGATGAACACTTAGATTGATTTCATAACTTGGTTATTGTGAATAATTCTACAATGAATGTGTTTGTGCACATCTCTTTGACATACTGATTTCAAGTGCTTAGAATATATACTCAAGTAGGATTGCTAGAGCCCATGTTAATCTTTAACCTTATTTTCCATCTATTTGGGATGAATTTGTAGTAGCTTGTATTTTGGGTATTAGGGCCCATACTACTTCTGAGGAAGATTTTTCTCAAAAGTTGGAAGAAAGCAACGTACATATGTGAAATTTGACTGTGCTATACTCCAAGTTATAAGACCTTATACTTTGAGTTAGAGTAGAAGCTCCAGTTCAGGTACAGTCCCTAATAATGTGTAAACCATTAAAACACTGGAACCTTTTTTTAACATACATAAGTGGGTCTGGGAGCCTATTAGGGTGAAATCATTCAGCAGTTATGATTTCTATACTTTAGTATAACTACAGAAATTATCAAAAAGGCACACAACACACAACGTCAGCAATGGAAAAGCAGACAACCTCGGATTGGGGGTGTTTGCATTATTTGTGGTAGTTATTTCTTCTTGCTTCATACAGCTCTAAATGCATATGCACACATGCATACATATACATAGAAATACAAAACGAAATGTGAGTGTAAGAAAAAAGTGAGTTAAAATAAAGTCAGTGAAACAAAAAAATCTGGAGCTGGGCACATTGCCTAAGGAACAGAACAGAGTAACTAACACAAGGGTGGGAAACACAGATTATTTGAACAACGAGCTGCTAAGCAAGATTTTATCAGCTCAGTAGTAACTTTTGGATTTCTCAGCAGAACTAAGACTAGAGCATTTTGTTCATTGCAAAGATTTTTTGGCAACTTTTCTTTTATCAAGGAAAGAATTTAAGAACTGAAACTATTTCAAAGTAGTTGCTTGTACACAGAGCTGATAAAAGGTCCTGTGGGAGAGGTGGCGGTTAACCTTGGTTGAAACGAGTTTTAATTATTTTTTACCCAAAGCTTGTACACAGAGCTGATACAAGGTCCTGTGGGAGAGAAGATGGCTAACCTTGGTTGAAATGAGTTTTAATTATTATTTTTTTTATATTTGTTACCTGCATTTACCCAAAGAACTGGTTGTATGGTGTTTACTATACAAAAAAAAAAAAAAAAAATCAACTTCTTTTCCAGCAAGCACTCTTTGATACCAAATTAAATTAACAGGACCACTCTCCACCATTCATTTCACCTTCATCTAGATTTAGCTCCCTTACAACTGGGGGAATTATAACTAGCTGGAGGGCTTCTGGCAGCATGCTTCAGACAGTGCAAGTCAACACAAGCTTAAATTGGTACTTGGTCAAGTTCACAGCCTCCGGGTCCAAATTAGAGACAGTGACCCACTGCATCCTTATCCCTGAGGCTCTAAGCTTCCAAGGAGAAAGTTCAGTTAGTTCCTGGGCTTTGATCCCATTTCCCTTGAAAACCTAACCTCGGGGCCAAACCGGGCACAGCCTTCGCGCCTCAAGGTGCAGGCAGGCTAGGGAGGGCGGTGGGGAGTGCGGTCCCACCGCGCTGACCCGGTCCGGGGAAGACTCACCTGCTCCTCCGAGGACTCGCGCCGCCATGGGAAAGGCTGTGCAGGCTCGCGCCGCGTCTCTGCCCTGCGGGTTCTGGGGCAGGGACAGGTAGGAGCGGCCCGCGCCCGCCCCTCCCCGCCCCGCCACGCCTCCCCGGCAGCCCAGCAAAACCCACAGACAGGCAGCCTCGAGGGCTCGCCACGTGGTGGGGCGGGTACATTCGAAAGGCCGAGCGGGGAGGGCACGCGACCGGTCACGGAGCTCGGGAAGCCCAACCGAGGCTTCGAAACAAGTTACCGTTACACAGGGGAGATCTCTAGGGCCCCAGAGGACTTTTACCAGTAGACAGTGATATTTACAAAAGGCCTGACACATTTAATTGTTCCTCAAATCCGATGAGTTGGACAATTTGTCCCTTGGTGAGGCGACCTCACGTGGTGACAAATACACTGCCGCGTAAACCCACTGAATAACTACAACCCGCGCCCGAAGTACTCTAGCATGATTAACCTCTTCCCTCTTCTCAGCAAAGTCATTCTTTTACATTTTCATAAAGCAGGCGTCCTCAAACTACGGCCGGTGGGCCACAGGCAACCCGCCTAGGACATTTATCCGGCCCGCCGGGTGTTTTTGCCGCCGTTGCCTGTCTTGCTTAGCCCGCAGTCCGGCCCTCCAACGGTCTGAGGGACAGTGAACTGGCCCCCTGTTTAAAAAGTTTGAGGACCCCTGTGATCACGAGCCACTCTGAAAGGGGGCTGGCCAAAAGGGGGGTTGCGGTTCCAACAAACTTTCAAAGAAAATCCTTACGGAAAAAAGAGAACTGGCTCGGCGCCCGTGACACAGTGGTTGGGGCGCCAGCCACATACAACGAGGCTGGCAGGTTTGAACCCAGCCCGGGCCCGCTAAAGAACAATGACAACAGCAATTTAAAAAAAAGAAAAGAAAAGAGAAAGTCAGGCATTGTGGCGGCACCTGTAGTCCCAGCTACTTGGGAGGCCGAGGCAAGAGTTTAAACCCAAAAGTTTGAGGTTGCTTGTGAGTTGTGATGCCACGGCACTCTACCAAGGGCGACATAGTGAGACTCTGTCTCAAAGAGAGCGAGAGAGAGAGCGAGAGAGAGAGAGAACAAATAAAAACCTTCAAAAATACTTACGGATCCCTTCTGGCAAATTTCCTGGAGTTTCAGCAGCAGCTTGGGCTCCATTGTCGGCATCAGTTACAGCGCCTTCGCTGACAGGAATTGGGGCGTCTTGGCTGACAGGAATGTCGCCGCCTTGGCTGTCAGGAAATTGGGCGCCTTCTTCTTCTTCGGCAATTTCAACGGTGCTGACACAGACACTTTCAGCTCCATGGGCACCACGAATTTGGGGCTCTTCGTAGGGAATTATGTCTGGTGTCGTAGTCGTCACCGTTGAATCACTTTGCGAGGAATCGGGGAGCTGTACCTCAGGGCGCTCCATGGTCCGCTGTCGTGGGGATTGTAAAATGGCTTCCTGTTTAGTCGCGGGAGCTGAAAGTTCCAGAACGCTTATGAAATGATGATGTCAAAGGTAACGGCCAGGCGCGGTGGCTCACACCTGTAACCTAGCACTCTGGGAGGCGCAGGCAGGTGGCTTGTTGAGCTCACAATGTCGAGACCAGCCTGAACAAAAGCGAGACCCCTGTCTCTACTAAAAACAGAAAATCTGAGCCAAGACGATCGCTTGAACCCGAGCTGGCGGTTGCTGTGAGCTATGATGCAGCACTCCACCAGGGCGAGTTTTTAAGACTCTGACCAAAAAAAAGACATAAAGTAACTTTTGCCATCATCCGGGTAACCTCGTTCTTTGTACGCTCAATGAACCCAGAACAACAGTAAAAAAAAAAAAAAAAAGATATAAAGATACTATTAGAAACATTGCTGGTGCCTGTTAAACACAAGTGCAAAGTCACTGCCTAACACTTAATCAAATCGTAGGAATAAACGTTTGGGGGAGACTGTTGCACAACCATTTCTTGTAGGAAACGATTCCTTTTCATTCAATTGAGCTACACGAGCAAAGCTCCAGACCTAGACAAAAATAGGTTTTGGTCTCTTTTAGAGTCCATCCATTATTTTTTATTTTGATATTAACCCATGGATTGTAATACAAAATAGACCAACAAAACCCGTTTTTACATTTACTGCAGAATATTCTTAAAGGCATTTAAAAACATTATTTCAGGTTAATTTGAGAGTATAAAGAATCAGGTTACAATGCTTGCATTTTTTAGGCATAGTTCATCTTATAATTGTGTCCCGCCCCCAAAAGGTGTGTCATAACCCCCAACATTATGCCTATTAAGTGGGAGCACACCCTTCACCCTCCCTCCTCCCCTCTCCCTGTTCCCTCATTCTCCCGCCCCCCACCTTGAATTAATTTGAATTTTTCTCTCATGTGAGTATGCTTTAGTTCATCTACTGGCTTCATATTACTACTGAGTACATTGGATACTTGCTCCTCCTCTCTTGTAATACTTTGCTAAGAAGGCTGTGTTTCAACTCCATCCAGGTTAATACAAAAGATGTAAAGTCTCTGTCTTTTTTTTTTGAGACAGAGCCTCAAGCTGTTCCCCTGGGTAGAGTGCCGTGGCATTACAGCTCACAGCAACCTCCAACTCCTGGGCTCAAGCGAATCTCCTGCCTCCGCCTCCCAAGTAGCTGGGACCACAGGCGCACGCCACAATGCCTGGCTATTTTTTTGTTGCAGCCGTCATTGTTGTTTGGCGGGTCTGGGCTGGATTCGAACTCGCCACCTTAGGTGTACGTGGCTGGAGCCTTAGCCGGTTGAGCTACAGGCGCCGAGCCGTCTCCGTCTTTTTTAATGGCTGCATAGTATTCCATGGTATACATACACCATAGGTTGTTAATCCATTTCTGGGTTGAGGGGCATTTAAGGTTGTTTCCACATTTTGGCAATTATAAATTGAGCTGCAATGAATGGTCTGCTGCAAATGTCTTCATGATGAAATGATTTTTTTTTCTTCTGGGTAGATGCCTAGTAGTGGGATTGCAGGATCAAATGGGAGATCTAATTTGAGTTCTTTGAGGATGCTCCATACTTCCTTCCAAAAAGCTTGCATTAGTTTTCAGTCCCACTAGCAATTTAAAAGTGTTCCCTTCTCTCTACATCCACGCCAGAATCTGCAGCTTTGAGACTTTGTGGGCCATTCTCATTGGGGTTAGGTGGTATCTCAAGGTAGTTTTGATTTGCATTTCTCTGATGATTAGGGACAATGAGCATTTTTTTCATATGTTTTTTAGCCATTTATCTGTCTTCCTCAGAGAAGGTTCTGTTCATATCTCTTGCCCAGTGGTAGATGGGATTGTTTGCTCTTTTTTGTTGATTAATTTGACTTCTCTGTAGATTTTAGTTATCAACTATTTGTCAGATACCCTGAAGTATCTTTTTAGTTCTGAAGATTGTCTTTTTGCTTTACTTGTTGTGTCCTTAGCTGTGTGAAGGCATTTATTATATAAAAAAATCCTTTAATGAAAATTCAAAGAAAAATGTTATTTTTGGTAATTGAAATAGCTGAGGAATTGTTTTGAATTGTATGAACATTGCAAATTATATAGTTAACTTTATGATGGCTGCTAGGAAACTCAGACCAAATTTGCAACCCACCTCTAATAACTATGAATATTATTGGCATATTTCAACCTTTCTTGTTATCTTTAATAACTGCATTCTCTCCCAAGTCCCTAATTATTATTATCTTATGCAGTAAGTAACACTGAAAGCTCCTCAAAACCTTTTAAAAGGCTTAGTGCCTGTAGCTCAGCAGCTAAGGCATCAG